CCAACGTGGCTCTCCTGAGCAACTACATGACTGTGTAATGGGTAGCCGAGTGGTAGGCGCGGTGAAATCAACAAGAATTACTTTTATTCTACTTTCAGGTACACACCTGAGATATAATTATTAGTGAAAGAAGAAGCGGCAAAATAAATAAGATTCAAGATCTCTCCGGTGCTCACCTAGAGGTTGACTACTTCTTCGAGTTATCTTTCGTTGCTATCTAATCTAATCTTCTCTTCATCAAAACAGAAATGCTCAGCCGCTTTTATGCAGCAGACGCCGTACGCTTACATACGGAGATACACTAAATATACATCAGGCAAAGCTCCGTATTAGTTCCGTACTGCTTCCGTATTGGCCGGGCAGGGATACTACACCCTCCCTTCCTAAAGATAATCACGCCCTCGTGATTTTCAAAAAAATACTGAAGAGTTACGAAAACAGCGTCAACCGGAAGATGGCAAATTATATCGGAAATGATAACGTTTAGAGTAGACAGAAGAAATGAACTGATAACAAATCATAAAGTAGAAGCACACCAGGTTCACACGATCTCACGGGGTCAAAAGGGGAAAGAACTGTCCTCCAAATAGGACCTGAAAATCCACAGCACTCTTGCTGCACAACTCTGGCACAACCCGCCAGGAACATCGCAGTTCAAAAACCGAACTGAATACACTATAACTATAAAGGGCGTTGTCACACACATTGTCCCACGTTAGCTGGGTAAACCGTGGCTCACCATGATCAGACGCCTACCAAACTAAACTGGATTCACACACTCGCATAAAGGAAGACTGAAAAGAACAGGGAGACTGAAGGAAGAGAGGAAAGAAAATGCCATACCTAGAATCAGCGTTAGTAACCACGGCGGCGGCTGGAGCTACGGCGGAGGGCAAGCCAGGTTTTATCTTCATCTTGGTTGAGCCGGTCACTCAGAGCGGCTAGCTCGGCGTCAGACAAATAACCTCCCTCCTCGTCTTGAATCATGGTCTTCACATTGTCGATAGCATCGCTTTGCGCGACGTAAAGAGTGATGGTCTAGCCAGGAAGAGTGTTGACGAAAATCTGCATCCCACCACGGAGACGAAGTACCAAGTGAATAGTGGACTCCTGCTGAACGTTGTAGTCACTCAGGGTTCGGCCGTATGCCAACTGCGTGCCGGCGAAAATCAAACGCTGCTGGTCTTGGGGAATACCCTCCTTGTCTTGGTCAGCAGCCTGCATGTCGTCGTCCTCATCAGCTTCGCCATCACCACCGGTAGTATACATGTAGGTAGCGGGTCGCTTGGAATCGCCATCGGAGTCTCCAGTGAGTGCCATGCGGAGGGAAGGGTGATCCACGCTAGCACCCTGACTGTGCTGCAAGCTAATAAGCAGGGCCAGGCCCAGGAAGGCAAGAAACATGATTCTCATCTTGATTCGTCGCACGAAGCTGCGGGTTGAGCCATGGGGGTCTGGGGTCGAATCACGTTGTTTTATTTTACAAAAACACACCGCTGCCACCAATGTAATGGGTAGCCGAGTGGTAGGCGCGGTGAAATCAACAAGAATTACTTTTATTCTACTTTCAGGTACACACCTGAGATATAATGATTAGTGAAAGAAGAAGCGGCAAAATAAATAAGATTCAAGACCTCTCCGGTGCTCACCTAGAGGTTGACTACTTCTTCGAGTTATCTTTCGTTGCTATCTAATCTAATCTTCTCTTCATCAAAACAGAAATGCGCAGCCGCTTTTATGCAGCAGACGCCGTACGCTTACATACGGAGATACACTAAATATACATCAGGCAAAGCTCCGTATTAGTTCCGTACTGCTTCCGTATTGGTTGGGCAGGGATGCTACAACTGTACTGATGTAGCTGTAACACAAAGTCACGTCGTGGTGTTGGGTAATCTGAGAGAGTGACTATTCTCTCTGTTTTAGTTCATGCTATCTAGACCGTCTCTGTTGTTCTTGTTTTTTTTTTATCAATGCCAGCTTTGCTTCGCTTCGACAGTTTCTCTGACAAGTTTTCTCTGTAGATTCTGATTGTTCTTTCTCTTCCCTACAATACCCAATGCTTCCCTACAATAATAATTATGGTACACTAGCGGGTATGTGCCGACACAAACGATTACTAGCAGGTACTTCGTAAGTAACTGTTAGTATTTTACTACTCCCTGATTACCAGTGCAGTGCCCAAGTAGCCAGCTTTATTGCACGCTTGTCTTTACCTGCATGAGCGCGTAAGCCGCTCTTCGGCCAGTCTCGGTCCTCATCTTGACTTGTAGAGTGGTGTTGTTGGTTGCTGCCTGCTTGTGTGTGTGTGTGTGTAGTCCGTAGTGTACCCTTCAGTCTTGGTCATGATTGTGTGTTGTAGAGAAGTGCATGTGGGGTACTGGCTACAAAACGTGTACATGACTGTAGGCATGTCAGTTAGTAACACTGTCCCCATGAAGCCGACACCAGTTCCTAAACGGTAGGCGAGGATAGGTCAGAGCCAGGGACTACTCCCTGACCGTAGCTAGCCACCAGCCAAAGGACTAAATCCGAGGGGAGGAGGGAATTACCCCATCCGTTACCCTTGTGCCAGATCACAAGTTCCCAAAATAATTCCCTTTGGGTCGCAGCATGGGAAAATAGTTCAAAAATACACCCGGTTCAAAGCAGGACTTGCGTGTGTCATCCCTGGTCTTTACTTAGACAAACCCACTTCCATCTCATTATAAACGTGCACTCACACTGTTCAGAATAGAACTCATTAAAACTGCACCCACAGTGCCACACCCACAGTCCACCCACACATGGCACACCACCCTGATACCAGCAGCAGTAGCAAGCAACCCACCACTCACTGCACACACAACCCAGAAAAGCGAAGAGGTGTGACTTTCAAAAGTAGTAAAAAAAAGAGCTATATCAACCAGTAAGCTAGCCTTGAAGTACAAAAAGTCATAACAGCAGCACATCCTGCACGGAACAGAGCAGCTACATGGCATGCCGTGCATACACACCCACTTACTATACTGCAACGTTCATAAAAGAAGGCAAAATATATATAATGAGAGAGAGAGAGAGAAAAAGAGAGAGAGAGAGAGAGAGAGAGAGAGAGAGAGAGAGAGAGAGAGAGAGAGAGAGAGAGAGAGAGAGAGTGAGAGAGAGAAAGAGTGAGAGAGAGAAAGAGAGAGAGAGAGAGAGAGAGAGAGAGAGAGAGAGAGAGAGAGAGAGAGAGAGAGAGAGAGAGAGAGAGAGAGAGAGAGAGAGAGAGAGAGAGAGAGGAAAAATATGGTCAGAACGCACATGAAACTCCTAAATTCAAATGCTAAGATGTGAATAAAAAATGCAGAACAATATGCCATGCAGTGCCGCTAGAAATGCTGCTCCCTCGCTGTCATGGGACTATTATTAATTTTTTTTATCACTACATGATGTATGATGTATAAGTATTAGGTAGAGGTAAAAGAATAGAGGAAGAAACGAGGGAAATCCGAAGAGGAAAAAAAGCGAATAAATAGAAGATGTGGCGAAGGGGAGTCTGGTCGCTTACGGCAATAGAGTTACAAACGTTAAAGCTATAACTACGCAATCAGACTATGACATCATCAAAGAATAACATGCAGTCAAACGATGACATCATCATCAAAGAATAACTATGCAATCAAACAATGACATCATCAAAGGATAACTATATGCAATCAAACAATGACATCATCAAAATCACTGTCAAGAAAGAGGGTGGTCGGTACGAGGTCGGTCACAGGCCACAGCACACGAGCCTTAGTTAGATCTGCGCTTTACGTTACTCACTTGCACCATGACAGCATCATTCATCATCATCATTCATCATGTTTGCAAGGCCACCCAAAGATGCACGGTTCACTGGCTCAACGTATGAGACAAGTGCTGGATTGTCGACACAAGCGTCGGCTTGGAACAAGCGTGGAAACTATAGGAAGTGAATAGAGTAGAAATGTGGAGGGTAGGGTGTGGGGGGGCAAACTAGCGGTGGTGAATAAGTTAGTATAGGTCAAAGAGTCCAAGCAGATCAACAGCTGACAAGACGAGGGGGGGGGGGGGGGGAGGGGGAGGATAAGTAGAATAGGCACATCATTATATATGTGTGACAGTGTAACACCGGTGGTCTGATGCCTGCGAGGGCGACCAACCGGGGAGAGTAAAACACGCACACACACGCGCGCGCACACACACGCACACACACACACACGCGCACACACACGCACACACGACTAACACAAACACTTCCAATCCGGCCAACTGAAACAGACCGAGCCTATAGTAGACTATGTGTCGGCGAAAGACATGGCGAGCACTGTACGGGCATCGTTTATCAGCCGGTGCACACCCGCATGTTTCAAGGTGCGCGGAAACCAGGGCAAGACCAAACGGTACACATAACTTATGCGCAACGTGATCAGGGAGAGCGAACGATGGTGACAAGATCCAACAGTACTAATGAACAAGCACAGTTGCGTTTGGGAAAGAAGTTGGTGAAGCCCTTGAATTTGTACACGGCTGAAACAGATCTGAGGAACGATGGAGACAGACAGACAGGCACACAGACAGACAGTCAGTCAAGCAGACCGACAGACAGACGGACCAACAGACAGACATGCAGGCATCCAGTTAGGCACGGAAACATACAGACCCACAGAAAAAACGGACCGACAGAAGTTGTAGAAAAGAGAAAGGACCAAGGAACTACAAGTTACGCTATAATGTCCACTAACATCACGATTTACTAAACTATCCTTTCTCTGGAGAATGAAGTTGAGGACACCACTGCAGCTGTACTTATGGTTGAAAAATATGGTGGTAAAGACACACCCGGCAATATGGCGGTAAACACACGCCTGCCCACACACGCTTTCTAAGCTGCAAAGTAATTAGTTATCCTTTCTCTATTCTATAAATTTATCCTAGGCTCTCCATCCGAGTCCATTTGACAGAAGTTAGTTTGTGATTATGAAAGAGGGGATTTCCCCAGTGATGTTCTTACACAAGGAGATTGGAGAGTCGGCGCACTGCGGGCATGCCACTGGTGGTGGAGTTTGGCGGAAAGATGTCGCGCTGCTTGCCAAGCAATTGCAATGTCGTGTTCACAAACGACTCCATGCTGGTAACGAGATCACTGGCCTAGGGTAAGCACACAGCAAGTAAAGAAGACAACAACTGCACACGGTGAGAGATGATCACGTATCAGTCAGATGGACTACAAGTACTGGTGTATCCCTCCCTATTAATATACATGTAACCCCCCCCCCCCCCGCATAATATACATGTACCCCCCCCCCCCCCCCGCATAATATACATGTACCCCCCCCCCCCCCCCCGCATAATACATGTACCCCCCCCCCCCCCCCGCATAATATACATGTACCCCCCCCCCCCCCCGCATAATATACATGTGCCCCCCCCCCCCGCATAATATACATGTACCCCCCCCCCCCCCCCCCCGCATAATATACATGTACCCCCCCCCCCCCCCCCCCCCGCATAATTTACATGTACCCCCACCCACCCATACCCTCCCCCCTTCCAGCCACGCGCGCTCACGCACCCTATACCGTACCTTGCTCTCACTGAGGCGAATGTTTTTCGCCTCCGCTTCTGCGTATTCTGCCGAGAGTACATCGATGCACTCAATGAGTCGTGAAAACTTGACACCGTGACGCTGCTGTGCCTCTGCTAATACCTGCCATTCTCTAAACATCAAGAGAACACAGAACACAGAACACACAATGACATGACATTGGTATAAAAGGGGACAGTACAGAAAAAGGTTGGGTCGACATTGACATAATGTAGGAGACAGCAAAAGACAATGGGACGACATTGACATAGTGTAGGAGACAGCGAAAGACAATGGGACGACATTGATACAAGCAAGACAGTACAGAAAGACAAAGGGTCAACATTGACAGAAATGAGAGAGTACAGAGACACAATTGGACGAAATTGACATAAAGAAGACCCCACAGAAAGACAATGGGGACGACATTGACACAAGGAGACCGTGTAGAAAGACAGTGGCAACATCGGCACAAAGAAGATAGTTTCGTACACAATCCAGGTTGCCTACTTCGAGGGAGGTTATATTTCCGGACCATGACTTGAAGGATGTCATGCTGGCACAGAATGATCATACCACAGTATGCACAGAGAAGTAAAGACCCCCTCGCCAGCAAATAATGACACACACAATGAGAGAGGAGTTGTAAATAGTCCACAAGTACACTCGGTATGTATATGGCATGCACGCACGCACGCACGCACGCACACACACAGACACACACACACACACACAGACACACACACAAAGTGTTATTCACCTTGCCATAATTATGTTGAACAGTATTGATACCCACCTGTACTCGGAACAGTTCAAGAATATCCGTTGGAACACGCGGCAGTCTCCCTCTCCACCGGAACACATTATTCTATCAGAACAACACATCCAGTTCACAACATTACCGTAAGACCAGATATTTTAACGTCAAATAAAGTTAACGATCTCCGGAGTTTTGTGGGTTAGCGAGGTGAAATTCTAACGAATTTCGTCTCAAAACCGGCAAATGACTGTACATGTACATATTGTTGTGTACATAACGACTTCTCGTTAACATTACTGGTCTTACAGTGTCAGTATGTCAAAGTTACGTCATAGCTCTACGCAGTGACATCATTCACCTACAGATGATGTCATACTGCCTGGAGAGTGCTGAATGTCGGATAGTGCACACATCCCAGTCCACTGCCTTGTCTACTTATCATGTGTACCTGAAGTAGGCTGTATGTTCTCTCCCCCCCCATGTTCATGCTACCTGGTTTGGGCCACCAATTGCCTGATGATCACGAATAACGTGAAAACACGGTACAGTTGAACATCGATTATCCGACCACCTCTGGGCGCGCGCGCGCACACACACACATGCACCCACACATGAACACATGCATGCGTGCATGCACACAAACAATGAGTACGGGAGCAGAATTTCTCTGTTGTAGCTTCAGGACTACCAAGAGTCTGACCTCGTGGGTAAATTACTGAACAGCTGCACATTCCCTTCCCCATACATGCACTCTCACGCACGCGCACTGGCACACACGCGGGTGCGCACACTCGCACACAAGCGCACGCCCACACGTACACACACACACACACACAAACACACACACACACACAGGTTACCATTCTCATCCATGCTATCGAGGTCTTGACCAGCGACTACATTGACACGAACATGAAAGTCAGGTTTCTGCAGCAACAGACAGAATTACAAACAGACGCAAATACAGTGAAATGAGTGTTCAGCAACCAACTCAACGTAACGACCTCTTTACAACTCGGGGACAATGTTAACTTTTTCGCACGGAAACCTCTCACTGCCCTACCCGTGGGTGGTGGAATTTCGCGATACATCGGGGGCAGCAAAGATGGCCACCACTTTTTTGAGGGGCAAATTGTCCCATATTTGGAAGGTACAGCCAGTTGTAGTGCATTTGTGGGTGTGATCGTATACAGCTTATGGCCTTTCATGCAGGATTGGTATCACAGTGTGTACCGTTTTAGTGGACATGCCCCTCAAGATCAAATGCCGGACGAATTTTAGGCATAAACCCTATATAAACCCTATTAGAAGCTTGCTGTCTGCTTGTATTGCGAACATTGTGGTATTAGAGTCAATTTGCAAAAAAAAACTCGCAGATCAGCCAGGGCATATATTAAAAAAAGTTTCGAGGTTCACGTTATATTCAGTTAGACTGAGTATAAGGTTCTGTAGGAACGCCACCACCCTCAAGGATCAAAGACACAGATGCAGCAGGCATATATACAACTCGTAACCTATATCTGGAAAGGACAATTCCCTCTTTACAGCGTGCAAACCAATTCATTGCGTCATTTTTGGTGCAGTGCGATGAGTCACGCCGATGAATTCTTCTAAAATTTACAGTCAAACCAGGATGCTTCCCCAGGGTAAACTGCCTAAACTGCGATTCTAGTCTGAGTCTGAGCTTCAAGAAGCAAAAGTAAAACAAAGCACACGATCCTAAAGACAAAACTATTTATTTTTTCGATGCAATGGTGACTCTTCATCGCCTTCTTCTTTCACCAGTGCAGTCAGTCTCTTCAAGAACAATTTCTTCCCCAGGCCATCGGCATATTTCCGGTGCTTTCCTCGAAGATGATTTCAAATGGTTGAGGAACTTGAGAGAATGATGATACGTCGAAGGAGCATTTTTCGGCTGAGTTGCACAGCTATCAGAATGATTGTCCTCGACGGCAATGCAATATTTTTAACAGCGTCCTCACTTCTTCCTGTCGCGATGTCCATGGATTCTTGGAGAAAGAGTTTGTTTTTCGAGAAAGTACGACTTGGACGTAGATCTACATCCGAAACGTCTTCAAAAAAAGCTTCGAAAAGTCGAGGCTACAGACTTGAGTTAGGAGCGGATCAGGGTATAGTTTCCAGAAATCGCAAAAAACCCAAATTTACCTCGGATGACAAGCTGCGCATGACGTAACGTAGGAATTTCGCCGAGCGCTGGGTCTATGCCCGTTGCACACTCTTGGGGGTTATGAACTCTTGCTATTACTGAGAGTAGGGCTGAAACGATTATACCGATTACTCGTATATCACTCATAATGGATGAAATCGATAATCGTTATGATCGATAACGATTATGACTGTACAGTGCGAGAGCGGTCATGACGTCAGTACATGCAGATGATGCATGGCACCATGCATGCGCGTCATATCATGCACACAGGTACATGATGAACGTCGAAGTACACGTGCATGAAGCCGTAGGTCCGTACAATCATTGCGGGCTTTTTCATTCTGGGTACTCGTAGTCGTACATTCCGCGCTGAGCTGCCCACATCGTACTCCGCGCACGTTCACTGCACTAGTCAGCGTAGCCGGAAAGTGTAACAACCGGAAAGCTTCAAGTTGTAGCGAAACTGTGAATTTGTTCAGTTCTTGTCAAAAAGTGTTATTTTTCGTTGGCTGAGCGTAGCGAATGAAACGAAAAATGTATTTTTTTGCCAGCATTTTCACCATAGTTACGGCACCAGGATTGCGTGAGCTGGTTTTTTGTCAGTGTTCTCAAACTTTTCTCTTCATCGTGGTCTTTATCTTTTCGTTGTAGTTTCCCACCCGCCCTCCCCTTTATTCCCACTTCTGGATAGGTCCTGCAGGCAACGTTTTTTCATTTATCTGATGGGGATATTCTAACCGTTTTTTTCTCAGGGATGTGCCTCCGCTGGGGTCCTGGGTTTTTTTCCGCCAGCTTCGGGCTGGTTAATTATCCGGCGGCCCCATTCACCACAGTGGTTCACTTTGCATCATGTTGGTCTGGGCATCATGTTGGTCTGGTACATACGTGTACATGTATATGCGTGAGGTGGCATGCCCTTCTTCTTGCTCATGTATACACTACGCTAAGCTCTTCCATCTTCCACCGTGAGTGAACAAAGACCACACTACTACGACAACGCAAGAATGACCAGTTGAGCCAGGGCGATGTGGTCATGGTGAGCCGGCTGGAGCAGCAGGCTACTACACCATGTCCTGTGTCGGTCATAGAGGGTTTCTTGGCGAGAGCACGGCATGTGCCCACTCAACCTCTCTTTGGCAAGGTCTCCGCAGCAACCCACCAGTCATGTCTGCGGGGAAAGATGACATACGCCCGGGCGCACGAATTGATCCACACGGCTCTCGCACGCGTAGGTGAAGACCCCACAGGGTATGGCACGCACAGTCTCCGCTCGGGGGGAGCGACGGCAGCGGCCAATGCTGGCGTGCCAGAGCGCCTTCTTCAGCGGCAGGGGGGGGGGGGGGGGGGGGGGGGTTGGAAGTCATCCACATGTAAGAACATGTATGTGTAGGATTCCCTCAAGGACATGCTGTCGGTGTCTCGCGCTACACTGCACCAGTGACTATCGGGTCGGCTATCCTTTCCGTCGTGAGTGAACAAAGACCACACTACTACGGTGATCTGTATCTTTCTGTTGTGTGTGGGTGTGTCTGCGGCGTACGCAGAGGCCAGCTAGCTGGCAAAAACTTACAGTTAGTTTTGATTTGTTGGCGAGGAGAGCAGTGACACTGCTGCCGCCTGTAAAAGCGAAAGTTAGTCGAACCAAGAGATCGCCAGTTTGGGCATGCTTCGGGGAAGCTGGTAGCGAAGCGAGATGCAATCTGTGCAGCCGTGAGTTCGTCCGTCAAAGCGGCACAACCAACTTGTTCCAGCACCTGATTTCTGCTCATAAAGACCAGTACACCGCTGTGGTAGGGAAAGGACCAGCAACCCAGTCGACAGCAACGACGACTACCAGCAATGTTGAGCGCAGTGACAATGGTACGACCAGTGCTGGAACGAAGCCCGTCACGTCGTTCTTCGGCACAGGTAACTTGCGAACGTGCGACAGCAGGCGCTCAGGCATGTTGACGGAGTCGATCATCGACTGGATTGTCGATTCAAGTCGACCCTTCTCCATTGTAGAAGACAGAGGACTGATTGTTGATGCCTAATGGCAGAGGAACACTGCTCATATCACGTTGCAAATTTCATTTTGGTCTTTTTTGGGCCTGTGTACATGTGTGGATCTTTCACCCGTACGTATCTATTATCACTCTTCTATATCGACCTCCACTAATTCTCGTGATCCTTGACTGGTCCTATATTACCCATATCGCCGCAATATCGACCGCTTGTATCGACCACTTATAGTCTGTTTCAAAAAGATTTACAATCAGGTTTGGGTCTTAAAAAGTATGAAGATAAGGGAAATTTGGACAACAAAGTACATAGAATGGCTTGTTAGGACACGGCAAATTGTTCTGTGAAGGTTTCGGAACAATTGGACCAACCGTTAAGGAGTTAGAATTTCGGCCAGGTTTCCGGCCTTTTCCCATGGTTTACAATTTGCCCAGGAAGCCAGTATCGATTTTTTTATCAAAACCCACGATTTATCCTTTCCTTTTTGGCCTTGTGGTTATGAATGCTGTCTGCTGACCATGAAGTTATGAGTTCAAATCCCAACCTATCCTCAAGTCAAACTTTTTTTTCATTGTTTTGGTGATCAAGCTGGTACAAGACAAAGAAGATGGCTGCACCAAACGACTTGTTGTTGGAGGTCGCGCTTCCTGCCGAACTGACTGACACTTGACTGGCTCACGCCATGTGAACACACCCACAACACTGCAATGGTGTGAGTGAATATGCTGTCGCTTTTTGAGATTTATTTTTAGTATTTCAAGATCGCCAATTTATTTGAATTTAGCAGTCAACGCCGTCTTCTATCAGCGTTCACAAGCGTCTGTTTTGCTCAAAATGTCGTCGAAGTCACACGGATAGCTTTGCCAAGTCATGGCCTTGGGAATGAGTCCGTGTCGATGTCGTTTTCGTCACACGGTGAGTAAATTGCATCGCAGCTCAAAGAAACTATTTTGGTCACAAAACGGATTGGGACACATGCCGCTCGTCAACATTTACAACACTTTCGTTTCGACATGTCCTCTCGATCTCTCTTATCGATACGAGGAAGAACTCGTTTGTTGTAAACCAGACGTACGTCCATGACTGTGTCAACGTGAGTGAGTTGTCATTTTTCCTGCTTTCGCGCGGAATATTTCTTCGAGTTCACAGTGAGTTTTTCCAGGCAGCGCTCGAGTGCTCATACGGTAAGACGCCAAACTCCGCGGGCGATCGCCAGGGTTGTAAATCTTTTTGAAACGGACTGTAGGCATCGTAATCTTTCGACTTTGGAGGGACTTAGAATTTTTCTCTCCACTTCAAAAAGAAAAATTGAAAGAATGAAGACAAAGGAATAGAACAAGCAGGATTTGAACTCACAACAGTATGAATCTCAAGCAACCCCTTATACCACCCAGCCACTGTGCTGCAGATGCTGAACCCTGTTGTTCTTACAGTCTTGTACCCAAAATAGGCAACATCCTATGTACACTATAGTACAAATGCTATACTAAAAATGTTAAAATAGCTCCTAAAGGTTCAAATTGTGGGGTTATGGCAAAGGAATCGTGATAAATAGGATATTGATCTCGACTTCGGTCTATATGGGAAATATAGGCCTCGTAAAAGACCTCGGCGGACCTTGGTCTTTTACTCGGCCTATATTTCCCATATAGACCTCGTCTTGGTCAATATCCTCACGGCTGTCCATATGATCACGTCAGCGGACATCTAAGATGGCGTCGGCTTTGAGCATGAGTCATTTGAAAATTCTGCTCGA